CGGGGGGTGGATGTGGGGCGATAGCATGGGCCGGTGCATGGGGCTGGAAGTGGGGCCCAGGTTCCTGGGGCCGCCGGGCGGGGGCCCGATACCGGGAAGCATCGGGTTGGACAGGGGACTGTTGGGGTTGGAGGCGTGGTGCGGAGGCCCGCGGATGAAGGGTGGGCGTATCTGCTGCATGATCTGCTGCTCCATGAAGATGGGCAGCGGCACCGGGCCGCGGTTGGTCATCACCATGGGAGGGCTTCGAGGCGGGACGCCAAGGGGAGGCCCGATGCTAGCAGGTGGCTGGACGGAGACAGGAGGGATATTTGGAGTCTCGCTGATGGGGATGGACTTGGGCACTGGCGTGGGGATTTTAGTGACAGAGCAGTTGGCAGTGTCAGATGGAGAGACGGTGGTGGACGCCGACGGGCCAGGGCCCTGGCTTTGGCCAGCTGTAGCCACCGGGGAGGGGGCCTTCCTCCGAGCATCTGTTAGCGGGATATTCCAAGAGTCTGGAGTGAGCAGCTGCACCCCGGTGCCTTCTGCTTTATTTTCCATGGGAGGGTGTAATGTGCTGCACAGCCCAGCTGGAAGATTGGCCTGGGTCTCTTTGTAGAAAATGTCCATTTTGTATTGATTGAGACATTTTGCACTGCAGAACTGAAGCCTTCTTTCCCCGTCCCCAAAATCCAGGTATTCTTTTGTGTGTCTTATGTGCTTACACCAGTCACATACCTACAACACAGTAATAAAAAACCACAACAGGTAAGACAAGCAATTTACCTGGGTAGATGACGTTTCGTGTTTCACATAAACGTTCTTTTAGACTTTACCAGCATTTCTCAAACAGGCAGAACTGTTTCCTTCTAAAAGGTAAAATTCTGAAATGTTTTTAAAATGATGGGTTGGCTTTATAAATATGAGCCCTTCAGAATACCAATTATCACAACCTCCTATTCTTTCTTCTTAAAGAAATTGTGTTGTCCCCTTTAAGCATGACTTAAAGACGGTTCTGAGAAAAGGGAATATATATACCTGTCCAATGTACCTGCCCACACATTTTCACTTGTCAGAAAGGCTCATTGTAAAAGCAAACCTAAAGAGTTTTGGAGGGAAATGTTCTCCAGAAAGTTCAATGGGCTTGAAATATTACCCCTTACAATTCTCCTCATGCGAAGTCACTTTACACTGTTGACTATGTTTGATAATGCAGTTGGAAAGGGTGTACTGTGTTAACCAATAACACAAAGCGCTGAACATCATTATGTCTGGCTTCCAAGGAGAAACTTGGAATTAATCATGAAGTCTGTGTGAGGTTTAGCTATTCCCAACCTGTGATGTTGCAGCAAGCTAGAATTATTTTTTGAGCTGTTTGCCCACTCTCTCTCAGTAGTCAGAATTTTTGGTGACATTTCTTGGCAGGCAGTCTTATTTAACAACTTTTCAAACACCAGAGAACATTTTCCAAAAGTTGTTATGGCTTTTTCCCCCCTTCAGATCTACTCCTGGCAAAAGAAAGACATCACCAAATTTATTTTAAAGTTGGGCTGCAGAACTAATTAAAGGCTGAGAGCTTCTCCCAATTGGAAATCACTAGACATCAAAGTTCAAAAAATACTCATTCTCAGCTTCAGAACCCATTACTTTGGAGAAATTATTGTGATTTCATTAACACATTAATTTTGCAACACCATCAGCTCTCACAGATGGTGAAGACATGATCTACAATTCAAATATGACTCTTGTTTGCACAAATGTCTTTCCTTCATATGGCATTTTAAACAAGAATTAATATGAGTAATCTTGCCATAGCTATAAACAGATAAACAGATGTCAAAATTTTCAATAGTTCTTTCAGTGCCTTACTTTTTTTTGACAGAGTTTTACACACACAATCTTTTTTCTTTTTTTCCTTTTTTTTTTTTTTTTGGCCATTTTCTCAGCACTCAAGCCATATATAGCAGCAAAGAAAGAATTGTGAAACAGTGCAATGGTGAGTCTATTGAATTTGAGTCTCTCCCCCAATAAAGCACTGGTTCCAATATTGTTCTAAACGAGACTCTGTTTTTGTTGAAGAGGCTGTCTGTTGTTCTGTTGTTGGTGTGTGTTGGTTTTTTAAAAAAACTATCATAAACTGATATAATTAAAAGATGACAAATTTTAATAATGATTGGTCACATAAACAATGCAAAAACAACATATGCTGGGCATTTGATTACTCATCTCATTTAACTCTCAGCTTTCCTTGATTGTAAACAGTGGTGGCATGCTGGTATGTGATCATGGGCGAACACGCACGTGACAGATGTGGGTCTGTATGTGTAAATCCACTCTTTTCCTTCTCACTTTTTCTCCACTGGTATTTGCAGGTAATAAACTTGATGGTGTGAGACTGAATAAGATACTTATTGGCACACATTCGTGTTTTGTTTAGTCTCATCAAATTGCCCTTTCAAACTACTTCTTGCAAAAAATTTTTGAGAATGAGGAAACTGCTGAGTTACCTTTGATGATTAATTAGAAAGGCATTCTTTCAATTTAGCTATCAAAACTGTTGCAATTATTAAAGTGGTAAAAAAAAAATTCAATGCTAATATACTCCTGTGTTTCACTATAGTGTTTCATGTTACTCCTGAATTAAGGGAAGTTTTTATCATAATTGAGACGCCCAGTTTACAAAAAAGTGCAGAATTGCCTCTGATGAGAAGAGACCCACAGAACCCATCAGACCCTCAAATTTTTCATATAAAAGTTAAGTAAACAAGTATTAGAAACATGATGCATGTAAGTTATTGTTTTATAAACTTGATCATTTAAATGAAATTAATGTATAATGATGTGGCACTTAAATTCCACTATGAAATAAAACCACCTGCTTATGTTTCAATATTAGGCATCCATAGAAAGCCTGAAGTGCAAATTTACAAGCTTGAAGTGAAGGATCAAAAATAGCTTCTTTAATCATTGACTAAAAAAAATTATCAATGAATTAAACTAATTAAAATAATATACCCATTTTCTGGCATATTTTTTTGGATCTTATTTTTTAGCCATAAGGGAGAAGAGTTTTCTGAAATCCTTAATTGGTTTTTAAATTGCCAGATTGAATTATTTGCCTCCAAAGGATTCCTGTTTCCTCAAGCCAAATAAATATTTTCAAATGGAGTAAAAAATAATAATAATCTAAATATAATTTATATGTTCTCCCTTCCCTTCCTTCACTTTCAGTAATCCATTGATGAATAAGGAATGCTCATAGATCAATCCCAGTTGTCAAATGAGAATTCTCCACCATATCTCATCTATTTTGACATAAAAAGAATTACAGACATCAACATTAGAAGCAAAATCCTATTTCATCAAACTTTCCCATTAAAGCAAAGGCCTACAGTTAGCTGCTTGATTTTCGGCAGCATCCCAAAGTGTGACAGTTCCTGACTATCTTGTTTTGGGTAACATGAGAGAGAGAGAGACAGACAGAGAAACAGAGAGAGAGAGAGAAAGAGAGAGAGAGAGTGTGTGTGTGTCCTTGCCTTATTAAATTTCAGTTCAGAATACTGATCTAAAATACTGATCTAAAATACTGATCTAAAAATACAGAAAAGCAATCTTTCTGATGAAGCAAAAAATTATTAGAGGAAAAAACTGTCACTTAAGAAATAATGAATCAAGTCTGTCTTACAGGACTCATCATTTAAGATGAGGTCAATGAATTTATGGCACAAATGGCTATATCATGTGAGGCAATAAAACACGGTACTATCATTCATTCTACATCTAACTAATGACACACTTCTAGTAATTAAAGATTTCATCATAAGAGCCTGAACTGATTACATAAGATGTGTATTTAGATGAAAATATATACTATATCCCTCTCTCTTTAATAAAACAACATTTGCATATCCAGGAAACACAGCATGTGTCTCAAACTCCGGTTTTCTGAATTGTGGGGTGGTGGGTTATTCTTCCCTTCTTTCACTGACAGCTTTACATTTTATTTCACTTGTTAACTTTTTGAGGAATCATTTTTTCCTCATTATGCCAAGAAGTACCAAAATTCCTTCAGATATTTTAAAAGATAAAGATTAAGAAGTGCAGGGATTTACGCACTGAGCTCTGGAATGATTTCCCCCTAATTTCACCCCGGCTTTGTTTCTGTTGGAATCTGGCCTCTTTGGTTCCACTTCTCTCACTAACAGGTCCCAGATTGGACAGAGGCTGAAGCTGTTTAACGATGCCAATCTGGGGACCCAACAATCAGCAAATGCAATGCCATTGAGCGAGACAGCTGAAATGCTTCGTATCACAAATACATAATGTATCACCAGGAAGACAAAAAGATCACAAAGGAGATAAACAAATGCGTATTCCATTCAACCCTATAACAGCAGTCCTCAAAAAGATTAAATTTACCTTCCTGGGATGCGTCCAATTCTAAACAACAGAATGAACATTTCCTTTAGTCCATTTAGAGTATTTATATTTGGGTGGCTGACTGCCAGGGTAGTACTTTTAAGCTCAGTGGCCTGATGGATTCACTCCTTTCCTGTGAAATAAATGTGTGGCAACCTACACCGCTCAACTGCTCCAAAGACACTGCCTCAGCAGATATATCACTTGCTCCTGATGTAAGAAAGCCGAAAGGCAGGACTTGTGGACTTGTGGTTCTTATAACTCTTTCCATCTTGTATTTCCCCGGAAAGAGAGAAAGCTATTCATGTTGGCAACTGAGCCTTTATTTTTATATAAACGTCAAAGTCAAGGCCAAAGTATGCCATAAGGTTACCCACATGGGCACAATATACAGGTTCTTCTGGGCTTAAGAGAAAACTCAGGCAACTGGGGGAGGGGGACAGGGTTCGTAATTAACACATTAATCAGCTGTTAGCTGTGGGAGTAAAGTTCAGCCTTTAATGGAATCCACCACTGCCTTCTGAGTGGTAATCTGGCATCAGGCAATATTTAATTAAGAAACCCTTTTGCTGAAATCTTTAACTGAGCAAAGATGTTTGTAGCAACGGAACAGTAAAAAAAAAAAAAAAAAAA